TTCATTCGCACCTATGTCATGCTCTCGAGTTTTGGTAAAGCACTTGTTGTCCTTTGATCACTGCTGTATTTGTTGGTTTTGTTGCATTTTTTGGTTCTCCCTGCTTTTGTGTTCTCTTGCCTCTGTCACCATGTTTCGCGTTAGTCTTTGGTTGTCTTTGACTCATTGTTACTTCCTGTTTTATGTATTATTTGAAGGGTTCTTTCTGCTGTTCTTCTTTTCATTACTACCACCTTTACCTTTACCAACCTCAGGTGAGATTGTTGCAGCAATGAAGCTACAAATGAACGTGGACATTACGCGCATATTTTTACCCAGCAAGCACCATTTCAGGCCGAGCAGCTGCGATTTGGCATCCCACTGATCAGAAGCTCAGTGTCTGTTCCAGAAAAGCATTTCTGCAGAACATCTTGTGTCAGATTGATCCTCATGCTTGACCACTTTGATGTAAGATGTTAATGTGTTTGTGCAGGAAGCTGTGCGCGTTCTCTCTATGTTGCTTATCTTCATTGACTCAACTCATAAAATATGTGGTTAAAAGCTCCTCTGTGATCATAGTGAAGTCCATAAACACAGAGTCTATGCCTTAGCAAATAATTGCTCAGTGTACAATGGAGTGTTTGTCTTTTAAAACAGCTGCCTGCTGTCACTTATTTAAGGAGAGCCACCGTGGGCTCAGAAAAAAAGTGTCAGTCACACTGTGGTTAGAACTGCCGCCTCACAGGAAGAAAGTTCCTGCTTCAAACATCTGGTTAGCTGAGGCCTAATTCTCCCTGTCCATGTGCGGATTATCCCACAACTTCCTCCAACAATCTAACGACATGCATGTTACGCTAACTGATGGTTCTGAAAAAGGAGAATGGAGAGTAACTACTGAGCCATTAGGGAACTGTCGTTTATCTCTCTGTGGATTTCCACAACTGAAACATAACATACAATGCAAACAAAAAACTCACCATTTTCTGGAACAGGTCCCCGACCACCAGCTCAAAGCCTCTGCATCTCATTTCTGTCTCATTACCAGGGCTGATCTCAGTCTGGTCATAAGCACTCAAACGGGCCTTCAGACCTGAGTAAAAAGTTTGGTGCACGTCTCTGAGCTCAGGCACCTGATAGAAAACGGTCTGGACCTGCTGGCTGGACAGAACTGGTTGAGAGGTCCCAGCTGAAGCCCGCAGAGCCTTCATGGGCTAGACAGCAAAATTTAAAAAAAAAATAAAAGTTGTGTTAAATGGCAGCCAGTGTGGGTGAGAAAGAAGAACAATGTGGTGTGCTGAAAAGAGAAATAGACTGTGGTGAAGTGAGAAGGACATGAATGTGTGAAATGTGCAGTTCACATGTGATACATCTCGCAAAGCTTTATTCAACCATCTCATTGCCTTTGGCACATGCATGCAAACCACCACTATAACCGGAAGAGCAAAAATGTTACATTTAGTCACTCTAAAGTCACTCTTAGTGATAAGAGTACAGTGGTGAGCTCACAACGGCACAAAACACAGCAGCCATGCTAAAGGATCAACCGCACAATTTCATTTACTTTCTCACATCTTTTTTCTTGTCTTTTGTTAAATGAGTCAGAAACTGTAAGAATGGGGAAATGCGTGTAGCTGTTGTTATTAATAGCACTAAAAAGAGAAGGAAAAATAGATTCAGGCACTCGTTATTGCGCCATCATTTCCTGACTTAATTTTGTTTGATAGCACTTATTGGCACTGGGTTGACCAACACACTCAGAGCAATGGGAAAGTCCAAGGAACTCAGTGAAACTCTGAGAAGGAGAACTGCAGATTTGCACAAGCTGGGAAGGTTTCTGCACGACTGCAGATTCTAAGATCGTCACTTCAAACAATTGTACTTAGTGCAAGTTACTTGGATGCATCTCCTCTTTCCCAAGAAATGGAAGAAGATCCAAACAGTCAGACAAGAGGAAATTGGTTAGGATGCTCAGTAACAACCCACCAAAGCTCAAGCCTACAATAAACTGGAGACTACTGGAACCAGCCCAGTGTCATTACCGACGCGTAACATACCAATGATTTGTCACGTCCCAAGGCGTCCAATGGGAACGCGAAAGGTGACCTTCCGCGTTCCCATGGGATGCGGCGGGTTGTGGATGAAATCCAATAGAATGACGCTCCCGGCGGTAACAGACGTTCCAGCCGTGTATTCCAGCCCTAACCCAAACCTTAATCTTAATCCTAACCTTATCCCTAACCTTAACCACAACCTTAATGGTGTTAGGTAGTGTCTTCCAAAGCGACATATGCAGACTGAGTCCAAACAGTTCTCATGTTTCCTCCTTTTTCCAAACGCATAACATAGGATCGTGTTGGGTGGCCAAAAGCGTAACATACCGACAATTTGTCACATAGCATAATATGCTACACTTTGGGAGTGAGAACATGTTACTGTCCACAGTGAAGTGAGTTTTACATCAACGTGGATGGAGAAGGTGTCGACCAAGAAAGAAGGCCTTGCTCCAAAACTGAATCCTTTAAGCTCAATTCAAATTTGCAGTAGTCCACATGCGCAAGCCAAATGCCTTCTGGTGAAAAGTTTTGTGGTCAGACCATTTGGCCACAACGACAAGAACAGTTTTTGGAGGAATAAAGATGAATTGAAACCTGAGAACACTGCACTAACTGTCAAGCATGGTGGTGGTAGCATCATGCCCTGAGGCTGTTTTGCTATCAGTGCTACTGGAATACCAGCCCAAGATTACCATGACATTCACACTTATGATGAGTGTATGTAAACTTCTGAGCACACCTGTCCTTTAGTTTACAAAAGAAAACAAGCAACGAGACACTGATGAGCGTTAAAAACTGTCTGCATTCTTTCAGCAAAACGATCCCCTTGTTCAGAGCCACGTAAAGCTAAGGTATCTTCTCGCACCTTGTGCTACATGTTTACTTTATACATGGGAGTGGTTTCAATAGTTTTATAAAGAGAAAAAGGGAAGCCTAATCCACAAAGGAGAACAATCTATTTACCACTAAAGAAGGAAGCTGAATAATCAAGACTTTGTTGCATGTGATTGCCGGACATGATCCTGTGTAACATGCTAAAAAAAAAAGGTAATGTCAACTAACAAAGAACAGGCTTAAATCACTATAGTAAGTGTGGTTACAGTTGAACAACAAAGCAGAAGTGAAACATTAATAGTCTAATAGTTTTTATTGTTGTAAAATAATATTCAGTCCAGCGAACAAGTGATGACAATCTGTCTATGAATAACAAGAACAGAGAGCTAAATATAAGAACTGAGAAATGCAAATTTGTTCTTCTGGTAGTGTGTGTTGATCTTACCATCAACAGGGTGTCCAGCTCTCTGAGGTAAACCTCCTCGCTCTCCAGGATGCCTTTCAGCACCGTGAGCCTCCTTTCCAGCATTTCCTCCTTGCTGCATGTTGTCTGGATCACAGGTGTGCAGAGCATGAGAATACATCACACCGCCCCCTCAGACTCAAGGTTATTGTCAAAGAGTTTTTACAAAATGTGTGATGCCAACCTCTGAAAAAGAGGCCACAGTTATCATCACCGCAGGACTTACAGGGTGAATCGGAACGTTAGACATTCCTGTTAAAGGAGTCCCGTCTCTAAAGCAAGCGATGAAGGGCAAATTGAGCTGCAGGCCTTTTCTCACGAATCTCAGACAGGCTGTTGGAGTTTCACAGGTTTGTACAATGTTTTTAATTTGTTTTATGTTTTTTTGTATATGATGCGAGAGCTTCCTGAGATGTAGCTGCCCCTCAAACACAAGTCAGATAAACATGGGAACCACACGAAAACTCTTTAAGGTACCTTTGTTCTAGATTTTGCAACACAAAGTTAGATTTCTCCTTGTTTGTCTTTCTGGGTGCTACCTGCAGTTGTGTGTTTTTAACCAACATAATAGCCAGAAAGCTCTATGTAGCAAAACTTGAAAACTTGGCTCTGCTTCACTCTGTCTACTTTCTGTTCTGCGTTGGTTGCTTTCAAATTTACTCACGTTTAAAATGTGAGAACTATAGTGCTGAAAGGTTTTTATATGTACTTCCCACTAGGCCATTGATCCTTCTCCATTTTCATCATGAAAATACAAGTATTGCAAAACTAAATGCAGTCTAGAAGACAAACTCAAGAAGGCACAAAGAGTCTGCAGTGATACAAAACACTGGAGTTGTGAACTCACAGGGGTGTCAGGGAAGTCCACACTCTCAGTGTTCAGCGGGGAGAGAAAACAGGACACTGCCTCCTCTGGGAAAACATCCTCTTCCAAGACATCAGCTTCTTCTGCCACTGCAGCAGACACTGTTCAGTCAGAGGGAGAAAAGCTCACAATTTCTCACATCTACTTCTGTTTTTGTCTTTCTGTCTTTGAAAAAGTATTAATAGCAGAGCTTTTTTAAGTTGTTTTTTCTTCCCCCTCCCAGCAAACAAAACAAGAAAATGGCTGCAACATTCAGGTTAAATCTACTCTCACCTGGTATGTTCTGTGACTCCAGATATTGCACAGCCTCCTGGTAGACATCCATAGCCGAAAAACAAGTCCTCTCTGCGCGCCGGCTGAGTGTCGCGGTGCGCAGCATGTGAACGCACTCAGCTGGTGACACAAAACTTCCTCTTTCTTTTAATGGTGCACAAAAGGAGACTGTAGAGACCCGAGTATAACTTCCTGTGTGCGTGAAATAAGCTCATGAGAGCACGCAACTGACATTTTATACATTCTTACAGTTGCATGTTACTTCCCATCAGCGGGATATTATCAGCGTAGTGTTTATATGTTGTACTTTTAAAAAAAAAAAAAGAATATCAGATGAAAGTAGTTGAAGGAAAGTTGCCACACTAGTTTGAGGTAAGTTGAGCCAGAGTTTAGCTTGATCTACTCTCTATATCAGACCAACGAAACACCTTTTTTAAATACATATATGTATTTTGACCTAATTTCTGTTTTCAGTGTTGAAAGGAAGGACCTTTTGGATAAAGTGGAACACGTTTTTCACAATATTTTTTTCAAAGATTTCTTTGGGGTCAGTTTCTTTTAGTTACGCATTTAGAAGTGTTATAAACTTGTATCACATATGCTGATAAAGTGTCAGCTCATAAAAACGCGTGTCTGCAGTGGCAAAAGTCTTTCTCTGGTTTAGTGTGGGCCAAACAACTGTGGGTTAGTTCAGTTGGTGGTATTGTTAAACCTTGAAGTCTTAGAGGTGTTATAGCAATTCACAAACGATATTAGATTTAATGTGTCAGGGCAGCATGGTGGTGCAGTGGTTAGCACTGCTGCCTCACAAAAAGAAAGTCCGCGTTCAAACTCCTATGGGCCTCCTATGTGGAGTTTGAGTGTTCGCCATAGCTTCCTCCAACAGCACAAAGAGGTGTGAAGGTTAAGTTGCCTGGCAGTTTTAACTAGGTCTGTCTCTTTGTGTTTGCCCTGCAGTGGACAGGCATCCTGTCCAGGATCAATCCCACCCTGGAGAGCCGCCCCACCCCATTGAACTTGATAAGTAGAAGTAAATAGATGTTAGGTCACATGATGAAAGAATAACTCCACGTTCTTTCCCCGTCTTAGCTACAAGTATACTATACAGAATACTACATTTTCCTTCTTTTTTGAATAGAAAACATGTGTTTGGGAAGATTGATGTTTATGTTTGTTAGGTAACCATTTATCTAATTTCCCAAACATAAAATCGGAAGCACACACTAAAGTCTATGCACATTACAACAACAAGACTGAAAACTGTGAGGTCTTTGTTAGGACACAGCTGATATAAAAAATAATAGTCAGCTGTTGACAGAGAGAATAAATTGCTCAGAGTGCATTACTTTCAGGCAAACATTAAAGTGCAAGTATAAAGACGCACAAGCACCACATCACAGCCACATCAAAAGTGCTCACCTGAGCCATAGCCGGTCTCCAGGCGCAAGTCTTGCCCCTAAAATTGAAGCAAACAGCAGGGAAGTATTTTTCTTGTTAAATTGTTTTCATCATTTAATGAGCAATCCATTCAGACGGCAGACGATGAGCAGTCTGAGATGTCTTAAGGAAAAAAAAAAGTGCAATTTCCACAGATTTCTTCTCCCACGTTTTCTGTACCTGTGGAACAATTCTCTGTTAGGTCACGTGCATTATAACCTGTCATTCTGCAACTCTGAGGATTTGGTTGAGCTTGTTCTGCATCAGTTTCCAAACAGAGAAGCAGGAACAATCACTTTTGAGCTGGTGAATGCAAAGACCCACAGCACCATAACATTGATTGAGTGGGAGGAGAAACTTTTTTTGCTTTACAGTTTTAATAAAGCACTTTGTTGATTTTCCTACTCAGTCTTTACTTTGACGCTTGTCTCACACGGTGTCTATACTGTCTTGTTTATTCTCAGTGATGTTAAAGTTTCCACTCGTATGAGGAAGAAGGTGGAGTGCCAGGCGTAAAGTAACGCAATGAGTGTGTTAAATGTGTCCCTACTTAGATCAAGTAAAGCCTGTCATTTTCAGGGGTTCAATGCCTGCATGAAGAGGCAGGCAATACATGATCTGAACTGTGTGCTGACAGATTAATAAATAAGTAAAGGTCTACTTTTTTAACTCTTTGCCTAATGAGGAATCCTTGCAAAGTCTAAAAGTTAGTTTCTAGTTCAGCAAAAGCAGGACGTGAATGTTTCAGTCTTCAGATAATAGACTGCACTGTGCAGTAAATTAGTGTGGCTTTGTGCTTCAGACTCGGCTCCACAGTGACATCTAGTGGTTTGATATGCTTAGCGCAACCCATTTACTCCAAGCACAAGTATGGGAACGTTGTTTATTTATTTTTCTATTTATACTAGACTTGTAGTCAAGACCGCCTAAACCGTGACCAAGACAAGACCAAGTCGAGACGAGACCTAGGCCGAGACAAAAAAAGTCTATAAACTGCAGTCAGATGCTGCTTCGTTTACGGGTGTCAGGCATATTTATGTGTTTTTGCTTTCGCACAGCCCTCCTCACCGCTGCCTACTGTCTCACTCAATAACTGAGAGGACAGACGCACGCCCCACTTGACTGTCTCTCACGTTCTCTGTTTTTCACATAATGATATTATCCTATATCCTCGCATGTGATTGGCCACAATATGGAGGGATTGGAGCATAGCTGAGCCACTGTGTGAGAGCTGAGCAGCGAAAGGAAATTAAGTGAGGGTAGAAATGACTGAAAGATTAATAGGCTCTATTTTGAGTTTTGTTCAAAAAAGAATGACTTCATATAGGAAAAAATATATATCACATATGCAGTTTTTGTTTTATACAGTTGTCAGTCAAGCATCTAACTATGAAACAAATTACACTTCAAAAGACCCCGGGGTTCTGAAAAAATGACCCGGGCTTAAGCCCAGTTACGGAATGAAACTCAAAGTATTCTCAGTACTTCCAACCTTTAAACGCTGCATGGTCGTACTCTCTCCCGCACTCCTTGGCTGTGACCGCACGCTTGAAGTACGCGCACTACGCGT